AGGACAGTTCCATCTGTCCCACGCAAACTGTTGTTTACACTCCTCGATCCCACTCTGCGCGCCCACCTGCACGCTCCTGGCATAGATGAGATGGGCCTGTGGGGTGGGGGGGGGGTAGTGACAGCTGCAGTTATTTATGTCAACTTTGAATTATTTTTTACCTTTACATAATAATCACAGCAGACACTTTTGTTTGTTTTTACCTTAGACCCAGTCATCAGTAAGTTACTTGCGACCCTGGAAATATAATAAGAAAAAATCGTATTGTTATTTATTAGTTTTAAATATCAGTCTTTGTTTTTACGCGTTCACAAAAGCTGGATTTCGGTTGACGGTGCCTTACCATGCACGGCCCGGACACGTATGTTGGAAAAGACACAGGATCCAGAATAATGACGGCAGCATTTTTAGGAATATCTGGTTGTTGTGATCCCAGCCTGATGCTGATGTCACTGCTGCTGCTGCTGCTGCTTTCTCTGTCTCTCTTAAATGGATAAGGAACAAACGGGACCCCTGCGCCCCAGGTCGTAGTAATCTGATTGGATGGTGCGTTCAGGAAACGCCTCGTATGCGCACTTCAAAGGATGTTAATGTGGGCCGCGGCCGATGTGTGTTCCTGTAGGTTTGACACTCGGCCGCCAATATACAAAGGAACAACTCCCGGAGCCGAGATATTAGAAAAAATATTTATTTGGTAAAGAACACTCTGTTGTTGGTACATTTTCAAATATTACACATATTTACAGATTTACAGGGGTCGAAAACAGAAGTGAGCATGCGTGAGGACCTTTAACCTCAGGCCACATTTATCTGAAGTCTTGGCGGTTTTATCAAAATAAAGTGCAATAAATGAATTCCAGTAACTTGATTCACTTGGTATTTAACAGAACTCACTGGTACTGTTGGCTATTAGTGACCGCGACTTCAGTCCTTGTTTACGACACATTCGGCTGCTCAACATTTACCACGTTATTGTCGTAAACTTTTCATTCTTCTCTGGTAAACTCAGGACTTTTTGTCATATTGCAGTTCGACATCCTTCCAATTTACGGTTTTAATGTCGTATTGTCAACGTTCTGCCCCGGTCCTCTACCGTACAGTGTTGTCACTGACGAAAAATGTTTTTGTTTTGTTCGTAGTCTTTTACGGCAGCTCATTGCCGACGGCCGCGGTGCCTGCGCTTGGTCTTGTTGTGCGGTTTCCTGCCGCCGTCTTTACCTGCGCAGTAATACTTGGTGACGACCTGCGTGCATTTGTCACACCTGACCGTGCAGCACCAGTGGAACTTGCAGTTACAGCTGCTCACCACCTCGATGCGCTTCTCCACCACTCTCAGGCCGCACTCGTAGCACAGTCTGCGGCAGCTCTTCCTCTCCCACTGGGACATGTTCTTGTTTCCCTTCAAACACTCCCGGCCCTCGGTGCCCTGGAACCCCATGCTGTGGTTCTTGACGCAGTAATCCGGGGAATCCTCCAGGAAAATGAGCTCCGTCCTGGGGATTCCTCGAAACCCGTGAGCGATGGCCCCCCTGTTGTCGGCGCTGTTCCCGCTCCTGGCCGGCTTCTTGTCCATCTCCAGCTTCTTCGCTTGTTCGTGTTTCTTCTTCAGGTAGTTTCCAACTTCTCTGAAGTCCGCCAGCTGCATCCAGCAGGTCTGGATGCTGCAGCTGCCGGACACTCCGTGACATTTACACGCTCTCCTCATGGTACTTTTTACTGCCTGTGGGGGGAGAGAGGGAGTGGGGGAGAGAGAGAGAGAGAATGTTGTCATTTTCTCTGGTAATATAATATAATAGAACAGAGTTCTCCAAGAGCCGTAAACCCTACGTGTACCTATTACACATAGACTAGGTAGTATGTCAGTGCAAGAAATAAAAGGCAATGAATGAAACATAATGGCGCCCCCCCGTGGAGACCTGTGTGGATTCCACAGATTCACAATGTGAATGTCCCCAGTTTTATTTTATTTTTTTAGAAATGTAATGAAACGTCATGGGTCGAACTGAAAGTTTTTGAAGTATAGTTGGACAGTACAGTACAGTATAGTACAGTACAGTATAGTACAGTACAGTAAAAGTACTTTTAGTCCTTAGATTACTCCATCATTCTGACTGTGACAGGGGACTGGAACTGTTTCAGCACCGTGTTCTTCCTGGTGGTACTCTCTGCTCTTTCTCCCACTCTGATAGAGTAGATGTAAACGGTGGGTGAGATGGGTGAGGTGGGTGAGTGTAGGGGAGGGTGAATCGAAGACGTACCAGTCTGCCTGCCTCGTTGTTGTGCAGGTTGACCGCAGCTCGTGAGTCGTGTCCGTCTTCCAGCGCGTCCACGAACTGTTTGGAGATCTTCTCTCCAAAGGCCACGTTGTCACTGCAGCCCCCCCAGATCCAGCCTCTGCCCCCTGTGGATGAGGAACGAACACACACTGCTGTTTAGGACACGGACAGTCGACCGCACCACTGTGTGGACTGCACAGAAATGACAGTGTACCGGTTTGTCCGATTTTGGAGTCATCGCAGCCGCAGTTGTCAAAGTCTCCCATACTGCAGTTCTTGGTGAGTGTGTACATCACCCCGGCCGCACTGATGGCGTGGACGAACGACGTCTCTCTGGTCGCTGCGAAAAAGTAAAAAAAAAATTGCTCTCAAACTGAATATTACACATTAAATACTGCGTTAAAGCGGCGTTAGACGCGTGTACAGTCGCTGTAACACAGCTGCTCTCTGACGTTTTTATCTTTTCAGTCCAGTGGTTTGTACACGGTACTACAGTCGGTACTACATCTGTGTTTGTACACGTTGTACACGCGCCTAGAACGTCCCCTGCAGACAAAGGTGTGTTACCAGTGCGGAGAGTGTTGTGCGTGGACATCTGCAGTGTTCTCTCGGGACAGTTCCACTTCTCCAGGGCGAACTGGTGCTTACACTCGTGGATCCCGCTCTGAGCGCCCACTTGTACGCTGCTGGCGTAGGTGAGAAAGGCCTGAGGGTCGGAGAGAAAGTACTGTAATATTAGGAAGTGTACTGAGAAATACTGCAGTTTTATATACACACACCCACGGCCGTCGTTTACTCTGTTAAAAGTTTTACACAGATACAACATGATGGTTATATAATAAAACCAATCATTTTAGTTTGTAAAGCGTTTACATCAGAGTCAAAGGTGCTTTATATAAATATATAAGAATATATTTACAATAGTCTGGGTGGAAAATATATAATCAATATGTTTACAAATAAAATACAGGATACAAATACATAAACTGATGCAGGTATATGACGAGGTGTTTACCTTTGGTCCAGTCATGAGGAAATTATTCACCGTCCTGAAAAAGAGACATGGAGATATAAAAGGTCAAAAGGAGGTCAAACGGTCAGGCAGTTAAATGGAATTCTGTTTAGTTTTCCTCCGAGTATAAACCATAATTCCAGCACGTACCACGGCTGAGCGGAGTGGACGAGCAGACACGGTACTAGAGCCAGGGCTGTGAGGAGCTGGAACGGTTCCATGGCAGCTGTATTCCTGTGGGTTCCTGCCCAGATGTGAGGGGACTGATGACCGGGGCTGGGGTCAGCCTGATGATATTTATAGGAGCCGGGCCTCTTTGATTGACAGCTCTGTTCTGACACTCACGGCTCGCTGTGAAAACACGTCTATGGCATCATTGATGGTCGGGGCTGAGAGACAAATAGGAGACGTCGGTGCCTAAGGACACTTCAAAGACGAGGACACAGACAGTCAACAAAGACCGTGGGGTCCAGTCACCTGGTTTTCCCAGGCTCGGACTCGGACTCGGACTCGTTTCCCAGCAACTTCAAATTAATTCAAATAAATAAACAAACATGTCATCATTATCAGAATAACTATCAGAACATATTGTTTCGACATAAACATAATTCCTTCTCACGTCTTTTTTTTTTACTTTTGTTTGGAGGTCGGAAACGTCAGTGATCCACGCCATCATCAAAAAACATCACTTTAATTGAATAAAGTAAAAATAAACTATTTAACTGTTTTATTCCTAGAGTCTAAAAAAGTCTTACAGCATATAATATGTTGCGTTGTATTATTGTTTGGTTACGTTTTAGTGCAGTGGTTCTCAAATTGGGGTTTGTGTGCCACTATGTGGACTCATTGTTGTTGCAAAATTATTTAAAAAAAATAAATATTTAGGTTATTCCCCAGATATGCGTTTATAAACTGATGTTAAAATCAGTTTAATTCAATGCAAAACTTGTTAAAGTTGACTGTTGGTATATTTAAAAAAATAGTAGTATTTTTTAATTAGGTATTTCAAAATACGTTTATTTATTTATTTTTTTAAGTCAGTCCAAGAAAGAATACACTTTTTATATTATTGTTACTTGTTACATATTGTTACTTATAAAACTGTTTCCATTTCAAGTTAACAAGTTATTCTGTGTCATTTTTTATATATATTTCTGTAGTTTAATAACTGACACTGACTCGGTTTTAAACTAAATGCACTGGTTGGGGGCAAATAGTTCACATCACTGGGGTACATGACTGAAGAGGTTGAGAACCAGTGGTTTAGGAAATGGCATCAGTGTCCCGGGGGGAGGGGGGGGGTAGTATGGGGGGGTCAGGCAGTGACTACAAAGCCATAAAGTCCTTTTAGAGGCGGCGGTTCATAGTCATGTAAATATGCGCTGACACATCGGCGACATTGGCATCGCAGTGGTAATAGGATAATAGATGTTCCTCTGAGCAACACGCAAGTGTGAAAAAAGTCTGGAATTTACAAGAGCACAAACACCTGAGTTCTTTAATGTTCCCGGCCACTAAACACCGCGTGAGTTGGTCGGGAATGTCGTAAGTTTGGAGTTTTGCGTGGGTTTTCTTGGTTGTTCTCCAGCCCGGTGCTCCTTCTCATTTGATCATACTGTGATTATTTATTTTTTTTCTTTTACCCAATCACATCAACAGCTCAGTTTCTGTCACTTCTTACTCGACTGTGAGATTGATGGCAGAGAAGTCACGGCTGGTGATTACGGGTTTAAATCAAACAGCTTAGCACTTGTCAAATCCCCATTTATCCACTCAAAATCCCTGAGAGCCCGGCGATTACTCAGCCCGGAGGACAAAGGCCTTCAGCCGGCCTGGGCTGCACAGGTGAGGATGATCCCCATTAGATATCAGCCATCCATTCATTCATGATGGAGCATGACTGAAACCCAGGGCCCTATCACCGCGCTGATGCACAGCCATCGGTCCGCTTAATAAATAATGATTTTAATGACTTCATAATCCGGTGACAATGGCGCCCTGAGCCGCTGGGCGTGATCGACAAGAGTGTTAGAAAATCTGCCAAAGACCGAAACTCCCGAGGACAAACCACGTGGGCGCCATTAGTGTTCTAATGTCAAGGTACAGTCCGATTCAATATCATTTATCGACACGATCCCACGATACACGACTTTGTCCCTTTTGACATTTTCCTGATAAAAATGCCTCTGTTTACGTTTGCACTGAGAGATCGGCACAAAGTGAATCATTTATTCAGTGATCATTATGATTGTGTTGTGTTCCAGTCACGTCCATTAACACGTGACGTTACTTTATGACGCTGCCTCAATGATCGGACAGTGATGACTTTATGGCCACCTGTTTATTTTCCGACTTATTCTCTCCTTCTGTACCAGTGGTCATGTGACGGTTCTCTGACTCCCTCGGACCTCGGACCGTAGACTGGCCGCTCACGGTCTCTTCATCGCCGTGTGGTTAAAATAACATTCGGCCTAATTAAATTCCTCCTCTAAACATCCCAGAGATCAGATCCACGCTGATGTGTGATTTACGGAGCGCAAAGTGAGAGAGGTGACAGGACTGGTGACGCCAGCCGCTCACACCACCGCCAGGGTCCACACTTTCCTCAGGCTGTTATGTTATGAATGACAAAATACTGGTTAGTGCAGCAGATTTTTTTTTTGCCGCAGTTACCCTGCCAACTGCCACAGGTGGAGGTAAAATACCCCGCTCTCAAAAAGGAAAAGTATTTCCATGACATTTGATCATTTTAAAAAGTTTACCAAACAATTTGTCCAAGTTCATTCC